AATGATTTGCAATATTAATCACATGTTAGTAATAAAAGCAAAGTAATACCGCATACAAAATATTTATATAATACATGTACTGTATGTTGTTTGAAATATAATATTTGTACAGAAAAAACTGTTAGACAATTGCATTTCTATGTCCCATCAGACATCATAGTATAATATGTTATTTCAGAGAATATTCTGTAATAACATATCATTGAAAATACAAAACAATTATTTCCTAAAACTACGGGTTCAGCGAAGTTTGCATCAAATATAACTGGCTTTGAATGTCTATCACTAGTAAATAGCAATAAAAGATTTTTTAAAAATATTTTTAATATAAAAACATTTTAATCAGAAGGAAAGTCAAACATAAAATGCACTCATATTTCATATATGCACACAATTTCATACATAATATTTTCGTATCACTCTATTAATAAGCGTTACGCTATATACATGTTACATGAAAATACATATTAATAAAAAACTATTGTCAGCGAAAGTCAAACTAAATCTAAAAATAGCTTCATTGGTAGAGAGATGTTAATAAATATTATTAAAACACTAGTATTTTTTCGCTCGACCATTACAATCGATAATATTAATACAATTGGCAAAAAACTTTTACTGTGACTGACTTAATGAATGAAACAAAATAATGGCACAAAATAATATTAATTCCTAACGCATAAAATTATTGAATATTAATATAACATATCACGATAATAATCAATAAATTATACGCTCAAAAACTCGTATCATGCTAAAAGGGAATGGTAGACACACATAGCTATACTGTCCCCCAATCATATGACTGATTTTCAAATTATATAACCTACTATTTTTATGAATAACATAATAATCAGATTTTGAGGATTTTCTAATTATAAGTCTACGGTAAACTATAATTTGTTATTCATAAAAATTATTGTTTATATTAAATTTCGCAGTACAATATTTGCTACATATATTAGGTTGGGTACACCTATCATACATACATCACATGCACTTTTTATCTCACTATCTTAGTTCAGTTTGAATAAAATCGACACCAATTTTCTACACAATTTACTTCATTTTACACCCAGGCACCGGTATCTCACAGTGTTATGAAGTGTTGTGTAACGTACCGTAATTACATAAAAGGGATGCCAAACATAACTGTTTTCTATGATAACAGATTACATAATAAACACTTTTCTAACTCTTCATAACAACCTTAGCGCACAAAAAGGATTTCTGAAAACTCTGTACTAATTATTGACTTTCTTAACACACATTGAATGAAAACTTACGAAAATGTTTTCACTTAAAAGATAAAAGACTGAAAATATGGAGTGGTTTTTAAAATAATGAGAGAAAGTGCACAAAAACTTTAGAGACAATCCATCACTTTCGCGATGACTTCCCGTTTACTGTAATCTCAGACTTGAATCTCTAGTCTAAAAGTCTAAAGACTTTCTAAAAGCCATAGAAATGCGTTCAAAACCCTTGAGTTTTGCAGCAAAAATGGGTCTAAAAATAAGTCTCGAGAATATTATATTCCGGTTCATGTGTTTTGTCTATGAGTATCATATACTGTATGAATCAATACTAATGTTAATAAATATCTCAATTAATAACAATAATCTAATAATCAATGAAAACATTGTGCACTACACAGTCATGTGCGCAAACTATTTAATCAATTGATTATCAACTGAAAACTGATAACAAAGATAGCATGCATTGATCACACATTTACTAATCATGACGTCTATTGAGATGTAAAGGTTGTATTCAGCGATCAAACAAATCAATGACTTTAACACACGTTTATGAGTCGACTTTGATTGGGAAAAATAATTTTTACAACAAAAAATTGCATAATTGATAACAAATGTGTGTTTGAGACGTGTATATGTGTCTGTAGGCGAGAGAGAGAGAGAGAGAGAGAGAGAGAGAGAGACTCACTTTTCGCTTGAATTCCTGGTCGTCGGTGACATCATTTGGCACAACAAACACTTGTCTCATAAGGGGTTCATTACTTTTGGCGACTTCGCCGATGCAGTTGGAGTCCGTGGGCACATCCCTCCAACACAACACCTTCAGATCATTTTCAGCCGCCATGCCCTCAAACTGCTCTTCGGCCTGGATGTGAGTGATTGCGTCCAAAAACAGTATTCCCGTTGCGTACTGGCCCGGCACCGGTAGATCAATGCCTTTGCTATCCCTGTGAAAACAGTTATTAATCCATATTATTAGCACACGTCATAGAAATTAATTTTATAAACACACAAACACTTTAAAACAATAATAATAATAATATTACACGATTCAAGACTAGCCTAGATCCTAATTCTTAGTAATGCATTGACACTACATTGTATGGATAGTATCAAGGTTAGTCATGTGTATTAAGTATAAAGAATTAAATTAATTAATAATTTGGTTAGTAACAGAATTATTCATATTTTTAACTAGCAAAAAATTACAGAATATTAACACAGAATAATATGCACGCTAAAAATAATATTAACGATATAACTTACAGTACATAACTAATAGTAAAACTATTAATATAACTATTGTACGCACAGGTAGATAACAGTAAGTTAAGTTATATATACAGTATATATGTTACATAACAACAAGTTTTGTTGGACTCACTTAATCTTTTTCGCGTAGAATTGATGGGGAATGGATGCGAGAACACCGGCCCCGTCACCGGTGCTGTTATCACAACTACAGGCGCCCCTGTGCTCCATCCTAGCGCTCAGGGTCTTCGCGTTCATCAACAGCTAAATGACCGCAAAATACCCGTTAAATCATGTTTTTAAGCCATGGTATATGTATAACGTGTCTCACTTTATGAGATGCTATGCCATCGATGGACACAATGAAGCCGACCCCACACGCAGCCTTCTCGTCGTTCACGTTAAACAGAGATCTAATACCCGTCCCCACAGTGTTGGCCATAGTTTCGTAGTGTAAATGTAATAGTTTTGTGTTTTGTTTACTCGTAAACCGATAGTATGTGTGTTTCTGCGAAGAATATGTGTGTGTATTGGATGTGAAACTACTGAATGCCTGCTATCTCTGCCACAAACCTTGCATCCAAACGTTAATAGTTTTGTGTTTTGTTTACTCGTAAACCGATAGTATGTGTGTTTCTGCGAAGAATATGTGTGTGTATTGGATGTGAAACTACTGAATGCCTGCTATCTCTGCCACAAACCTTGCATCCAAACGTTCAAAGTATATGATGGCTGTGCGCAAGCACCCGGATTACCAATAGGGATACCTACCAGTGCTCTCTCTACTATTTTCCAGGTTTCATATGACTTGTGTCGCACGCATACCCATCCACACAACAACCACATCCAGTATACGAGCGATAAATTACTTTATTTATCGCCAGAAAACTCGAGACTTCTCTCTCACTCCGCCCGATATAATGGACTCAAACACAAGTGCAGACCCTTAGAGATGAACCGTTTCTCCAGTAGTCGCTCATACAGCTCAGGGACTTTTAAGAGCTCCCTGTGCTCGTCACATGCTCATAGGAAAGACGTTTTTGCACACCAATTGCAAAGATTTTTGATTAATTTCTCGCACAATACTGTACTCTAATATTAATATTACATTTCATTTTCAAACACATATAATAACTTACTTAACGATTCAACTGACGTATTGTATATAAGTTATGAAACCACTCCGTAATAAAAGTTTAACTTATAAATTGAGCAAGCTTATAGACAACTGTCTCATTGAACGGTTGCCAACAAAAAACCACTGTTTAACGACTATTGTTTCACTGGTTTATAAACTACTTAGTTACTTATGCAAATTTTTGAACAAAAATCGTAATTAAACGTCATTAAAAAACCTTTTGAAGAACTTACACTTATTTTCAAATGGAAAAACTTTTTTTGAGACAAATGTCTACAACTTGCGACACTTTATACACAGGTAACTGGGGGTCAAAGTCAATGGGAATATCCCTCAATAAAACTTTCACTGACACCACCAAAAAAAACTATACAGTACTTGATTACACACTCATAACTATTAGTGAAATTAAAGTTTTATTTTCAAATTCTTAATCATAATTATAATAATGGATCGAAATGTACAGAACTTTGATAATCATTAAATTAAATTAAAAAACTTTTTAAACAAATATTCAAAACATAAAATCGCACGCAATTCGTCATAATAAATGATATATTAAATTAAATATCAATTTGCTTTTTCAGTACATTACTAATTACAGTAAATAATTTGTTACTTAAGGTCTTGGTGTGTATGTGTTTTCAAAACAAATTCAATTAAATTACTTTTCTCCATACATATCATTGAAAATAAATGTATATATTCTTTATGGTATTATCTGTTGTATATATACTTGCAATATATTGCAACTCATCATTAAATAACAATAATTTAAATTACTTTTCATTTACTTTTATTCCACTATTTATTCCTAAAATATATTTATATATAGAGAAAGACATGTAACTTTTTTGTTTTAAATAAATTATGCTTTTTTGGTGTGGAATGTAATTGTCTCGTAAAGTATTGGTTTTGTTTTGCGATTATAATCGATATTTAAAATTACGGAATATTTTTATTTGATTGAATCTTTTAGGTATATAATTATATAATATATTTTCAATTTCACAAACATATGTGTCGTTTGTATATATATTTAATATTTCAAAATAAAACTCATATTAGCGTTAATTATCTCAATAGTTTTTCTTAGTAGCATCTTATGGTTTAACATTAATCTAATCATACAATCCACGAGTGTTTGGATATAGTTCCCAATTTGCAATCAAAACAAATATGTCATCAAATGGTAGAGTTAAGGCAAAAATGAGAATTTTAAAAACAATTTCATTTACATATACAGACAATAATTACTAAATTTAAAAATAACAAAACCTATGCAACTCATTGCGATCTCAACGTAGTTATTACTCACAAAATAAACTTAATTTAAATTAAAAAATCAATTTAACACTAGAATTCAAATTTGGCGTAAATAAAAACAATTTAATGGTCGTGTGTGTGTATGTGTCTATTCATAAATATAATCAGTGTGTAAATCAATCATAACATAAAAAACAATTGCAAACATCGGCACTGATATGCAATAAACAGACATTTCATTTGATTTTCATTTATAAATCCCATTTTTCGAGAGACATCGAGAGAATTAAAAAAATAATAAATTTCTAGTTATTTATAATATGACGACAAATAAATTGCTCACAAAAATGATCTATAAATTAAAAACACAACTCTCTGCCCATAAAACGTTACGATTTTCTCATGTGTTATATTAGTCTTAAATATGTGTTTCAGTCGACTGTCTATAGCGCACCGAAAGGGTCCGATTGAGTACTGGCTAATCCGGGGTTTACTGGGCGCTGGCCGGGGTTTGGCAGCACTTGAACGGCACCGGGAAGTCCAGCGCCGACGGGAGGCATCCCTGGAACCATACCGGGTCTCATCTGCAGAACACAAAACGCCATACAATTAGTCAAAACCCTAATACACTCGCCAAACAGGCTGTCCCTCTCTCTCACCTGAACGCCGTACGCCATGGCGTTGGGAATCATTGGCTGTACGCCGGCGGCCGCCCACTGACCGCCTGCTGGAATCATAGCGGGCTGTTGGCCGGCCAGGGGTACGCCACCGCCGGCCCCACTCCAGGCGCCCATTTGCTGGCCCGCGTTCCAGCCGGGCATTTGCTGCGGCTGTACCGGTGCGCCCGTTTTTATTGTGTTTTTAGGACTGGAAAACTGTTGACCAGGTCTTTGGTGTCAATCAGGAAAACAAAACACATTAATATCGGGAAAAACAGTAGGGGTTCGCAGTGTGTACGCACTTTTTGAACGATCCTTTTGGTCCGTTAATGTCGAGGTTTTGGGCCAAACTCGCGAGACTCGAGTCCAGGTCACCCTTAAATAGACTTTGATTTGCGTTTGCAGTTGTGGTGGTGTTTGGCGTGATTTGGGGCGCCATTTGTACGGTCTGACCCATTTTGGCGGCCATCAGTTGCGGCTGTAATACATCGCCAAACGCGTCAAAACCTATGCAATCAAATCGAGAGACAAAAGTGAGCATTACTTCCGAAAAAACAACTCAGAAGTCGTGTAAAAAAATTCAAAAACCAAAAAAACATAACAAATAAAGTGGTGACAAATCATAAACGCAAATCAAATAAGGAAACCCTCAGAAGCGGTTAGACCTGCGACGGCACCGGTAGCTATTCCGTACGACGGCATGCCGGGCATCGCGACATATCCGGCCGGGGGTGCCGTTCCGGGCGGCACGTATACTAAGCCCGGCGGCGCTGCACTGGGCGGCGATGTGGACGACTGGTTCGCCTGCGGGCCCACCGGTTTCTGGGGCTTAGTCATCGTCTCCCTCATCGCAAAGTCCAAGTCCTCGAAAGCGGACGCCTTTTTCGCGGGTTTAGCCGCCATTTGGGGCGACGACCCCATAGCCGCCCGCTGTTGCTGTTGGAACAGTAGCTGCTGTTGTATAATGAACTGCTGCTGATTGGGGTCTAACGCCGCGAACGGTATGTTCCCAAACATAGGAAACGCCGCACCGGGAGGGAAGCCAACTGCCGACGACTGGTCGCCAAAGTCTGCACTGCTCTCTTCAAACCCCTCGATATTAGCGCCGGAAGGAGGCGGCGGTCGAGTGGGAGCCGCAGCCATGGGTGCCTCGTGTGGTGCCGGAGGCCTGACAGGCGGCCCACTCTTAGCCGAATGGCCGGTCTCTTCAAAAGTGGTCGGAAACGCATTGGTCTCGAAGTGGTGTCCGAAGGGACTGCTCTCACCAGAAGGCGGTGGCGCTGATATGGCCGCCGATGGCAGCGGACTATTGCCGCGAGAATTATTGCTATCGTCGATACCACTGTCCTCTCCAAACCCATGATCGGGAACGGCTAGTATGGGTGTAGTGCCGGCGCCTCGGATAACCTCATGAGTGGGCGACGGCGAGGCCGACAGATTCGGGTCGTCGACACCGGTAGGCATGGCTAGCGTGTCGGTCCTCTGATCTGATACTTGTTTTAAGGTTTAGGGAAGCGTTTGATTAAATGGAAAAAAATGAATGGAAAGGCTATTGACTGCATGACTGCACAAAATACATGCCATAGTATTCAGACAACACTTACCCTCTTCTCTCACTCCTTCTGATCGGAAGGCATGGATAACGAAGAATAAGAGACAATAATTGATAACATTTTTGGTAAACAACAAAATATAGTGGTCAACAACACTGAGAAGTACTGAGGGTTTCCCTTATATGTNTTCAGACAACACTTACCCTCTTCTCTCACTCCTTCTGATCGGAAGGCATGGATAACGAAGAATAAGAGACAATAATTGATAACATTTTTGGTAAACAACAAAATATAGTGGTCAACAACACTGAGAAGTACTGAGGGTTTCCCTTATATGTCAACACTTTATATGGCAAACGAGTTGCGAGAGATAACTCAATAGATCGAGTAATAGATAGTAAAAAGACAAACACTAAGAGACACTACACTACGAACTAAAGGCATACCTGAGGCAGAGGTTGTGTCACTTTTACCAAAAGCGGCCGCAAAGCCGTCCTCCGAGGCGAACATATTGCCGCCATTCGTGGGCATCCCGTTGAAGGGGCCGGTGCTCTGTATGCGCGGCACCATCGAGGGCTGACCCATCGACTGTTGCTGCGGTGGCTGACCCATCACCGGCGCCATCGACGTGCCAAACGGCGTCTGTGTCATCGGCGGTGCGTTACTAATGGCGGCGTTTAGTATGTCGGCGAACGGGTTGGCCGACGTCAGGAACAATAGATCGTCGCTGGCTTTGCCTGCGTGTGGGGGACCGGTAGGCAGCGCGCGGTTAGTACTAATAGGCGTGGAATCGTGCGAGTCATTGAAAAAATCTAATAATCCCTGACTTTTGTCGGCTGTGGGCGACGTCTTGGACTCAGCCGTGGGCGACATCGCGAGGAACGGGTTGTTGGCTTTGGCTCCGCCGCCATCCTTGTCCTGCATGTGCTTCTCCTACACGCGCACAGCACCGGCACACAGAGTCAACACACAATTAGTATATCAATACAGATAATTGCATTTCATAGGCAAACATTACAAGACTACCAGTGCTTTTCAAAATCATTAGCCATTAATGGAAAAATTAAAATCATTTTTACGATTATGATAATCAAGTGTTAGTAAGTTATGGAGAAAATGCAATCAAAAAAGTCTTATGACTACTACTAACCAAATCCAACCAATTCTCTTGTATCCACACAAATGGTGAGTCAGACTCAACAGCGTTACTATTAATCTAATGGCAGGCATTGGACAGGCATTTAATACATAACGAGAAATCGATGCAAACATTGATCAGTAAAGACAAAAACAACCAAAAAATGCAAATAAAATATGTTATATTAGATGCAAAATACACCGTCACCTCAAAGTATACCAAAAGCCAAAAGCATGCAAACATGAGTGCATACAAAAAGCAAACTAATCGACAAAAAACATAACAAAAAACCAAAATCATATCATCAGCCATACCTTCAATTGGTTAAGCATTCGCTCCTCTTCTTCGAGGGCTTTCATTACGGAAGCGCTTTCGGGGTCTTTGACGGCGCCGTTGAACGAGTCGCTCGGAACCGATCCATTAGCGGTCGTGCCGTTTGTCGGCTGCGATGTACTGGATGTTTAGAAAACACAACAAAAAACTCATTAATAAATCACACTTTCATTACTATTCATTCAATGAGTCACTCAAACATACGGTGTATTTGGTATTTAAAAGTACACAAAAGTTTGTGCATTCAATTCATAATACTATTAATACTTTGCTAAACATTTTAATGTTTTATATCAAACGCTAATGTATTAAATAGCAGATCTCGTCGAGCACTGGTATGCGTTTAGTCAGCCCTTCAGACGTGCAGTTGATTTTAAAACTGCATTTCTAAACATCAATAAATACTTCACTCCATATACGACAGCAATAAATAAATTCATTAGACGTAAAACATGTGTTAATTTTCTAATAAACTCTCAAACAAACTCCAAATACCAAAACCTACTCAACACTACTGTTCTCGAACCTACAGTTCTCTCGATAGGAACGGGAGTGAAAGGGAGGGAACGGGTGTATGTGTACTCACGAGGACTGTCCCTTTTTGCCCTCCAATTGTGCTAAATGTTGCTCGAGTGCGTCCAACAGACTACTGGGCGCTTTGGTGAGGTCCGGTATCTCGCCCTTATCGATGCCCACATTCTCGGCCACCTTTAAAAACTCGGACACTTTGTCCATACGAATCAAAAACTTTTTGTATANTTTGCCTGTTATAACGACGGGATTATCAACTGTTTGGGTAAACCATCATTTGATGGCTATTTGTGGTGATTATCTAATGGTTTGCTGTTTTGTTTGTAGAGAAATACTTCGATATGAATAAAAAGCAGGCCCGGGAGGCGCTCGATATATACAAAAAGTTTTTGATTCGTATGGACAAAGTGTCCGAGTTTTTAAAGGTGGCCGAGAATGTGGGCATCGATAAGGGCGAGATCCCGGACCTCACCAAAGCGCCCAGTAGTCTGTTGGACGCACTCGAGCAACATTTAGCACAATTGGAGGGCAAAAAGGGACAGTCCTCGTGAGTACACATACACCCGTTCCCACCCTTTGACTCCCGTTCCTATCGAGAGAACTGTAGGCTCGAGAACAGTAGTGTTGAGTAGGTTTTGGTATTTGGAGTTTGTTTGAGGAGTTTATTAGAAAATTAACACATGTTTTACGTCCAATGAATTTATTTATTGCTGTCGTATATGGAGTGAAGTATTTATTGATGTTTAGAAATGCAGTTTTAAAATCAAATGCACGTCTGAAGGGCTGACTAAACGCATACCAGTGCTCGACGAGATCTGCTATTTAATACATTAGCGTTTGATATAAAACATTAAAATGTTTAGCAAAGTATTAATAGTTATGAATTGAATGCACAAACTTTTGTGTACTTTTAAATACCAAATACACCGTATGTTTGAGTGACTCATTGAATGAATAGTAATGAAAGTGTGATTTATTAATGAGTTTTTTGTTGTGTTTTCTAA